CAGCTGGAGGCCAGCTTCGCTGGCGCCGTCAACGCAGACTACCCGGGCCTGGCAGACCCAGGTGGGCACCGTGGGGGGCGGTCTGTCTCAGGGTCCCCACTCCTCCGCCCGCCGCCACCCTGGACGCCAGGCCTCCCTCAGTGAGACCTAAGAAACCAGACGGAGCACGCGCTGACTCAGAACAGCGCAGGGACCTGGGGAAGCCCTGCCTTCCCATGTCGCTGGGTGGGCACCTCCCAACCCCGATGTCCGCGGGTGTGGCGACCCCTTGGGAAAATGGGCAGTTCTACCCACACTCAGTAAACCGCCCCCCTGGGAGCCAGCACCCCGCTCCGGAAGAGATCAAGAGAAATACATGCTCACAAAGGAGGGACGTGCACACAGAGTTCGCAGCAGCTCAAATGCCCCTGAATCAGAGCCCAGATGCTGTCATCTGTCCGCACCCTCGGGGGCTGGGAGGCGATTTTAAGAAGAATGAGTTTCGGGTACAGGCTCCGTTTTGTATGAATCTCAGCTCTTTTGATGAGTGAAAGGAGTCAGCTCCTAGCGTGCTCACCGCGTCATCCATTGCAGTGAAGTTGGGGCGCAGGCTGAGCTGACTCGTAGGCAGGGACGGGGCTCACGGTGACCTCGTGGGGCACAGCTGTGACCTGTACTGTGATCTAAACGGCCCTTGGGCAGGTGTGTAGACGGCACCGGTCGCCCGCTGTGCCTGGGGTTAGTCCACTGGCCGACTTCGCTCTGTCCTGCTCCACAGTGAGAAAACGAATGAATGAATGAATGAATGAATGAATGAGTCTCCTAACGGCTGCCTTGTGTCTTCTCTTCCTCAACAGTGTTTCGGACGCTGGTGGCCCAGATCCTGGACCGGCCGGAGCCCCTGCTGCCCCCCAGCCTGGCCTCCGAGGTGGTCACCGTCTTCCAGTTTCACGGCTACTTCTCCGGCCCCGGGGTTGGCGGCCTGGAGGGCCACGTGCGCCAGCTGGCGGGACAAGGTGGGCTGCTCCCGGGTCGTGGGTGGTGGAGGGACATGGAGTGGCCTTCTTTTTTATATGTTATTGCTTTCAGAGAGGGAGGGAGAGGGAGAGAGACAGAAACTGCAATGATGAGAGAGTCATGGATCGGCTGCCACACTGGGGATGGAGCCCGCAACCCGGGCATGTGCCCTGACCGGGAATCCACCCCTGACCTCCTGGTTCACAAGTCAACGCTCAACCACTGAGCCCGCCGGCCAGACTACTGTGTATTTTTTTTATTTGCCGGTTTAGTTCATCCAACAGTTAATTCCGGGGCCATTATGGGCTGGAGACCACGCCCGCTCTCCTCCCAAGCGCCTCATTGGCCTTGACAGTCACAGCACTGATGGGCCCTGTCCTCGGAGCGGAAGCCCCCTCTGTCACGCACTGGTCTGCCCGGACGGCTCTGCCGCTGGTTGCGCCTGCTCGCTGAGCGCCTTCCTCTGCGTTTCCTCCCCAGTCTCCGTGGTGCGGAGCCTGCAGTCGCTGCGGGACGAGAAGCTGCGCCAGGCGGTCAGCGGCCTGGCCCCCAGCAGCCTCCCGGCCCAGCAGGAGGTGCTCCGGACCCTGGCTCTGCTCTTGACCGGGGCCGACCGCGGCGTCAGCCAGGCCGTGAGGCTGTACCTGGAGGCGGCCGCCGGGAACCAGCCTTTCAGGGAGAAGGTAGGCTGCGGAGCCCTGGCCGAGCCCCACGCTGCTCCTCCTGTCACCTTCTATAGGAAGAATGTGTATCGTCTTTAAAAGTATTCGTTACTGATTTCAGAGAGGAAGGGAGAGGGAGAGCGAGAGAAACATCAATGATGAGAGACAATCATGGATACATTCTCCTATACACCCCACAACCCAGGCATGTGCCCTGACCAGGAATCGAACCGTGACCTCCTGGTTCATAGGTCGGCGCTCAACCACTGAGCCACAGGTCAGGCAAGAATTTGTATCTTGGACGGTGGCTCAGTTGGTTGGAGCATCATCCTGTACACCCAAAGGTTTCGGGTTTGACTCCCAGTTGGGGTGCGTATAGGAGGCAACCAATGGATGCTTCTCTCTCTCTCTCCCTTCCTCCCTCTCCCTCCGTCCCCGCCCCTCTCCCTCTCCCTCCCTTCCTCTCTCAAAGCATAAGCATCCCCTCTGGTGAGCGCCCTGTAGGTTTCCTGTGAAATAGCACGGTTCCTTCTAACTAGCCCGAGCGCCTCTGCGGGGCCCCACGTCCCCCGAAAGCTGGGCTCATGGCCGTGCATCTTCCAGCTTCATCCTCCCAGAGCCGCTGGCCTGGCCCGGCATACGGGATCCACATAGTGGATAGGAAATGTAAAACGACAGCTCCTTTAGCAGCATGAGTTTTCATGGGCTTCTGGCTCAGAAGGCAATGCAGAGCGAATGGTTTAGCTGTGGTCCCTGTCAGGCAGTAACGGAGAGGACCCTAAAACCAGGTGCTCACTGCCCTCCTCCCGCCAGGCCCTGCTCTACTACTGCGAGGCCCTGACCGCCCGCGACCTGCAGCTGCAGAAGGCGGCGTGCCTGGCTCTGCAGAGCCTGCAGGTGAGGCCTGCGGGACTGAGCCCTGAGCAGGGACAGCGTCCTGCGTGTGTGTGTGTGTGTGTGTCTGTCTGTCTGTCTGTGGTGCAGGACTGAGCCCTGTGTGTGTGTGTGTGTGTGTGTGTGTGTGTCTGTCTGTCTGTCTGTGGTGCAGGACTGAGCTGTGTGTGTGTGCATGTGCGTGCGCGCGCGCGCGCGTGTGCGTGTGCAGGCCCGGTTAGCGGCATTGCTGGTCTCCTCTGCCCTGTTTGTTGCTTGGAGTCCTTTTTTCTCTTCTTGCAACATAACAAAATGTGACGTTTCAGACCCTCCTGCTCTGTTCCTTCCGGCTCAGTCCTGGAAAAGTGTCTCTGATCCCCAAAGAGAGAGGCTGTGATGACGCACTAATGTGCGTTGTGTCCAAAACACCAGCGGGGCCCCGTGCGCTGTGCGCAGCACTGCACCTCAGGGTGCCCGTGGGTCCAGCCGGCCCCGTGACGGCTTCCCCGGGGCAGCTCGGCCTTCACCGGTTGCGGGGTGGGGGGGCGGCCTCCTGGGAGCCACACGGGATGAAAAGCACTGACTCCCCAGCGCCAACGGGCTCACCTTCCAGTCACCAAGATGTAGTCACAAACAGCGAGACTGGTCAGTCTGAGGGGAGGACGAGAGGGCAACCCAGCCGCCCTCCACTGCGGTCCCGTGCTCGTAAGACAATTCAAATGTCTATGAATAATATAAACAATAAACCACAATAAAATACAACGGAGCCCTCAGGGCTACTGCCGCTGGGGACCTGGCTCCATCCGGGAGTTCACCCCTCCCGTGGGGTGGCGCCCAGGAGCCGGGACCTGCTCCCCACACGCAGCTGGGGGGGCCCGGGTAGGACAGCCCGGCCCCGGACAGATGTCAGCTCACGCTGTGCACGGCCCCTCCCCGCAGGCCACGGAGAGCATCAAGATGCTGGTGACCCTGTGCCAGTCGGATGCGGAGGAGCTCAGAAACGTGGCCTCCGAAACCCTCCTGTCCCTGGGTGAGTGTGTACACGGGGCTGCGTGCTTTTGGGTCTTCACAGAGCTGTCGGGGGAGGTTCCCTGTGCACCGTGTAGCGAGTCCCCCCATGGCTGCCTGCTCACACACACATACGCTCACACACATGCTCACACACACACGCTCACACACACACGTTCACAATATTCACACACACACACTGTCACACACATACACGCACACACTCTCACAATACACTCACACATGTACACACACTCACATACACGCACTCTCACAGTACACACACATATACTCTCACACACGATGCACGCGCGCACACACATACATGTACACACACACACACACACACTCATACACGGAGGAGCTCAGAAACGTGGCCTCCGAAACCCTCCTGTCCCTGGGTGAGTGTGTACACGGGGCTGCGTGCTTTTGGGTCTTACACAGAGCTGTCGGGGGAGGTTCCCTGTGCACCGTGTAGCGAGTCCCCCCATGGCTGCCTGCTCACACACACGCTCACACACACGCTCACACACATGCTCACACACACGTTCACAATATTCACACACACACATACACACACACTCTCACAATACACTCACACATGTACACACACTCACACAACACACACACACATATACTCTCACACATAATGCACGCGAGCACACACATACATGTACACACACACACACACACACACACACTCATACTCACCCAGCATGAGGACTCCTCAGTCTCCATGTCTCTCCGGCTCCTGTCCTGACCCCCTGGATGTGGAGGGTGAGGGCTGGGAGACTTCAGGATGGCTCCTCAGTCTGGGCAGGATTTCGGATTAAGAGCCTGGAAGTCACACCGTAGTGGCAGGAGCTGGGGTCTGGGCTCCTGCCTCCTGCACGCCCCTCCCTCACTGGGGACTGAGCCCGCAACCCAGGCCTGTGCCCAGACCGGGAATTGAACGCTGACCTCCTGGTTCAGAGCTCGCCGGCCGGGCCTGTGCCCGGACCGGGAATTGAACGCTGACCTCCTGGTTCAGAGCTCGCCGGCCGGGCCTTCACAATGAAGCCAGGCCGAGCACAGCTGACTCTGTCCTTAGTCTCTGTGTTAAGTGGACGGAAGCGTCTCGCCCTCACTTTCCCACTTGCTGGTAACATTTTTAAATGAGGAAAAATGGAACAAAATAGTCAAGTAATTGACACACGTTGGCCGTGCAGGGCCGCCTGCTGACAGCCTGAGCCCGTGGTGGGCGGTGGGCGCGTCACCACGTTGACACGGTCACTTGGCTGGCGTTTGGAAGCCTGAGTGTGACTCTATGAAGGACCGTGTAGGCGCCAGCACAGACGTGTAGCGGTAGAAGCCGTGTGGACGTGGCATGCTCCAGGGGCCGGGACCCGCCGCGTGGAGGCCGCGCCCGCCTGCAGCAGATTCCCCGGGCATTGCAGGAATAAACCTGCTTAGTGACCTCACGGACGGCACGTGCCCCCAGACCTCTCGCCTCCCCGCTGCCCGCTTCCCGGCTCTGGCCTCCGCTCCAAAGAGAGAAACAGTGTCGTTCACAAGAGAGGTGACTTTTCCTTTCCTGACGTGGTGACAGCGGGAGCGTTGAGCTGATGCTGGTACCGTTTCTCGCGTTCCCATCCAGGGGAAGACGGGCGGCTGGCCTACGAGCAGCTGGACAAGTTCCCCCGGGACTGCGCCCACGTCGGAGGCCGTCACGGGACCGAGGTGGCCACGGCCTTTTAATGACCCAACAGCTGTCGTCACAGATGGCCCCGCGGTCCCGGAGGCGCGAGATGTCGCCGGGAACCTCCCGCGGTGTAGACAGAACTCGATCCGGTCCTGGCGCCCAGCGCGAGCTGTGCCCGCTACGAGAGGGCTGTGTGCAGCGTACGAGGTCAGTCACAGCGCCGACCACGGGCAGCGCCGAGTCAACAGAGCCCGCCGTCTCTGACACGTGTGGGATTTCAAAACAGCCATCTTCGTACCTTTCCAGAAGTTCTGCGAGCTTGAGGCCGTCCTGTGAGACGCGGGTAAATGTCGTACAGCTTGCAGTCCCCTCCGTCCGTCGTGTCCTCAGGGTTGAGGGCCCCCACCCCTCACCCCCACCAGCCACCTAACTTTACCTTCAGTGAAAAGCACAAAAAGAATTGCTCCCAATAAAAGTTTGCCTGCGGGACCGGTAGGCCCCGCACTGTAAGAGCGCAATGTTGTCACACGTCACGTGTCACTGTGCCGCCTGTTCCTCTTCTTCCTCCTGAGAATTCCCGAAGCGTGCTTCCACGGTGGCGAGAAGATGGGGAGGTGACCAGGAGCAGACGGCCTTAGGAGATCACCCCCCTACTCCTTAAACACAAAGGCACGCATTGCGTCCGCTTTTATTTGTGAACAAACAAGAGCCATTTTTTTTATGATCTTTTTCTATAGAGGTACTTGGCCGCTAAGACCAATCCAAACCCAAAGCCATGGCTTCAGAAAAGCTGGGCGCTCCCTGAGGCGCGAGCGCGAGCAAGTTGGAGAGACATTGAAAAGGGGTCCTTGCTTCTGTGACAACCCCAGGAGGTCAGGATGAAGGCTGCCCCCCTGGGGTGGTGACTGCCCCCTGCTGGGACCCCTTGGCCAAATAGAACAGCAGCCGCCCTCACCGCTCCCACCAGGGGAGCAAACCCAGTCGCTAAAGTCCACGCCCGCTCAGGAGCTCCTGGTACATAATGGGGCTTCCTTCTAGGCGTATACGGGGCGGGATATGCCAAGTTATCTAATAGGTGTGAGTGTAGCTTGAACTGTACTCCAGATGTGTTTGTATAAAATGCCAGTGAGGTGTCATTTTAAATATCTACACGTCAGCAGACCTTTACAGCAGCTCTTAGTTCAACTTACACGGTGTCTGCCGGGTTTCCCGGCAAAGAGTCCTTGGGACTGTGAAGTTACAGTGTGTATATATATATATCTATTTGTATATTTATAAATATTATATATATGCCTATGTCCTTCCTTTGAAAAGTTCCTTGTACAGTCTATAGTTAGGATAGCCTGCATAAGCTGCAGTCCCTGAGAAATGGTGGAGAGAATTTTTTTTTTTTTTATAGAAAACTCAAATCCCAAATGTTACCAAGTGTTTTGTTGGTTGTGGTGTGTGTTTTTTAAAAAGAATTTTGAATATTGCATGAGCAACGGACTCCAGGTCTTTTGTATTCACATCTGCATTTTGTTTTGGTTGAGGGGGTGCGTTGTTTTGTGGCATTTGTATCCGTCACTGTTCCCATCCTGGACGTTCAAATAAAAATTATTTTTGAATCTCTGGTCTCAGGCCCAGAGTCCACTGTATTTTTTCACATGCCCTCGCGAGTCGGTACATACACACGACACCTCGTTCCCCACTGGAATTTGTTCTGATCTTGACATTCCTTCATCCATAATTAGGGATAGTAATATTTGCTTCTTGGATATTTTCTTTTAAATATATGTTTATTGATTTCAGAGAGGAAGGGAATGGGAGTGAGAGATAGAAACATCAATGATGGGAGAGAATCATGGATCGGCTGCCTCCTGCACGCCCCCCGCTGGGGATCGAGCCTGCAACCTGGGCCTGTGCCCCGGCCGGGAATCCAACTGTGAACTCGTGGTTCACAGGCCAACATGCAGCCACGGAGCCACGCCGGCCAGCACTCCTCGGGCATTTTATGAAGCTACTTGGAGAAAAAAGACTCTGAGCTCCTGGAGGGTAAGAAGCATCATCCTTCATCTGTGTTCTCAGCCCAAACCCCAGGCAGCACCCTCTGCTCCCCAGCCCGTGTCGTCCAGGAGACTCGGTTGCTAGGTGATGCGTTCCAGAGTTCTCAACTATTGTGGCCGCTGGCGCGCAGTGGACCGGGAGCCCCCGGCCTGTCCACACAATGGCCACGGCCCATGTTCCTTCTGTGCAGTACGAGTGTCCCGTTTACCAGTATGCTGTGCGGCTGGGCCAGTGCTTCCGGAGGTTCTGGAATGTCTATATTATGGGCTTCTTCATTGAGGAGGAGGAAGAACATATCCCCCCAAGCCAGACTTTTTTTCATAAAGGAAAAATCGTGGCACTTGGCCAGACGTTGAGGAACAAATCCCTGGCCATCGAGGAGCGGGCCCAGGCCGCCTACAGGATCGGACTGCTGGCCTTCACAGGTACGACCCTCCAGGGCTGCCGTCCCTGTTTCACACCCCGTGTGCTGGTTACAACACTAAGTCAGGGTCTTCACGGGGCTCGTCTTAAAACCCCAGAAACACTTCCTTTGCCTAAATTATCAGTTTTCTGTCTTTGTACCACCAAAGACATTACTGATTATTTTCTCCTTAAGGATCTGGTTTTTTGGTTAATTTATTTGGTACAAAGGATTCTTTTTTTAAAATGTATTTTTATGGATTTCAGAGGGGAAGGGAGAGAGAGAGAGAGAGAGAGAGAGAGAGAGAGAGAAAGAGAGAGAGAGAGAGAGAGAGGAACATCAATGATGAGAGAGAATCATTGATCGGCTGCCTCCTGCACACCCCACTCTGGGGATCAAGCCTGCAACCCAGGCATGTGCCCCGACTGGGAATGGAACTGTGACCTTCTGGTTCATAGGTCACTGCTCAACCACTGAGCCACGCCGGCTGGGCTCAGCTAAAACTTTAACATTGATGAGAACATTCTTGGGATGTAAGAGAAATGTAAGTCAGGTGGGAAGTCCAGGCTGGAATCCGGCCAGCGATGAGGCTGCTCCTCGCGCCTCACCTCTAACAAGCTCCCCCGGCGCCTTCCGGCTCCTCCCTTCTCGGCGTTTGAGATTGGAATGAGGAAGAGCTGGGGGTCAGGAGGAGGACCAGGTGGTGCAGGACCAGGTGGGGTCAGGGGGCAGAGCCAGGACAAGCTTGGATGGCCTCGCTGGTCCCAGGCCTGCAAGAGCTGGGCTGGGAGGGGGTTGGAACAGGAGGGAAGGGCAGAGAGGCGGGCGGCTAGCTTGTGAGAAACCTCTCCGACCACCAGCCCCGGCTTTGCAGCTCAGCCTTCTGGGGTTCTCGTTGCTGCTCTACTGCTCTCCTGTTTTTTCTTTTTTAATCCTCACCGGAGGACATTTTTCCATTGGTTTTTAGAGAGAGTGGAAGGGAGAGAGGAGACACAGAGAGAAACATCGATGGGTTGCCTTCGCACATGCTCCAACCAGGGCTAGGGATCGAGCCTGCAACCTAGGTACATGCCCTTGACTGGAATCGAACCCGGGACCCTTCAGCCCCCAGGCCTATGCTCTTTCCGCTGAGCCAAACTGGCTGGGGCAAACGCTCTGGTGATTTTTCAAGTACTGAAGACGGAGAAGCAGAAAGGAGACCACAAGGGAGATGCCCGAGAACCCAGGCCTCCTGGGTGCCTGAGGACGGGGACCTCGGCAGGCAGGGACCTCCCAGAGCCCAAGTTCCCGAGCACACACGTTCCCAGGCCCGAGCGTCTGTATGTGGCAACAAGAATAGGCACAGCTGAGCCGCCCCGCCCGTCCCTGGCCACCAGGCCTGCCGAGTGCTCCTGGAAACCCAGGTGCTTGTCTTCCAGGAGGACCCACGGCCGCGAAGTTTGCGGCCGAGCACATGAAAGAAGTGGCGCACTTGCTGCAGAGCGCCCAGGCAGCCCCGGAGGTGAGGATCCTGCTGCTCCAGAGCGTGGCCTGCTGGTGCTACTTGAACCCCATCACCCAGAGGAGGGCCAAGTTCCTGCAGCTCGTCCCCATTCTCATGGCGATTTTTGGGAACGTCCCCGAGTCCAGCAAGACGGACGTCAACAACACCCTCCTGGTGAAGTTCTGGGCGTGCTACACCCTGTCCGTCATGACCTGCAACAACCTGTCCTACATGGAGGAGCTGAGGGAGCACTCCGAGTTCAAGTACCAACTGCAGGCGCTGGCGCAGAAGGACTGGGCGGGCTGGCCCGAGAACTTCGCTGAGGTGCTCTACTTCCTCATCGGTTTCCACAGGCACTGACGCACCGCCAGAGGGCCCTGGAACACAGAAATAAATGCTCAAAGCCCATACGTCCCTCCCTGGCGTCTTTTTTTAGGTGGTTGGAAACTCCCATTGAGCCCTAGCAGGTTTGGCTCAGTGGATAGAGCGCCAGCCTGCAGACTGAAGGGTCCTGGGGTTCGATTCTCGGTCAGGGCACTTACCCGGGTTGTGGGCTCGATCCCCAGTACGGGGCGTACAGGAGGCAGACGATCCATGAATCTCTCATCATTGATGTCTCTCTCTCTCTCTCTCTCTCTCTGAAATCAGTAAGAATATATTTTAAAATGACCTCCTGCAGATGAAGGTAATAAAATGGGAATTTGGGGAAGATGCCAGGGGCATTGGTGAGATTCATGGGGTGTTAGATACTAAGCCAAGGCACCCAGAAAAGCCAAACCCACCACGGTGCTGGACACGGGCGCCCCTCCCCTTCTGTCTCCGCCAGCCCTGTGTCCTGGGCTGAGGTGGTTCTCTGGCTGCCAGAACATGAGCTTCTGGCACATCAGACGGCCCTGCTTGCGACGTTTGGTAGCTAATTGAAAACTAGATTCATCATCTGAAGGAGTCTTCCAAATTCTCTCGATCGACTCAGTTTCCAGGCGACAAAGGCCTTGCCTAAGTGACCCTTTGATGCACGACATGGCTCCGTTGCCCCTTACAGACGCCGTGCGCCTCAGAGAACACGCTGTCCCAAGGCCGTGGCCTCGGCACACCGTGCTCCCATGTCCTTGTCTTCCTGAAGAACGGACTTATGGGAAACTCCTCATTCATTTCACCTGGCTCTGACTTCTTATGCCTTCCATATTGTATGTTTTTTAAAAAATACCTATGTTTTTATTGATTTTTTAGAGAGAGAGGAAGGGAGATAGAGATGGAAACATTCATGAGAAACACTGATCAGCTGCCTCCTGCACGCCCCACACTGGGGATTGAGCCTGCAACCTGGGCACGTGCCCTGACCCGGAATCCAACTGTGACCTCCTGGTTCATAGGTTGACGCTCAATCCGAGCCACACTGACCAAGCCTATACGTATGCTCTGTGCTGTATCTAATGGAACTCGAATAGTTTCAGAACCCTCAGCTATTCCTGCATCTCGTCACTGGGCGTGCACCTGGTCACCATCCCCATCGGCGGGACGGACGCACAAGAAGCCCCTGAGACCACCTCCTCACGGCCTTTACCAAAACCCTCAGGAGGAGCGGGGGCCAGGGGGCCTGGAAATCAACAGTCCGACCCTGAGCCGGGGGGCAACCAGCTGGGGAGGCAAACCTCAACCATTTCCTCTTAAGGGGGACAAATTCATTTTCTCCTCGTTTCCTCCCAGACAACAGAGGGGTAGAGAGAAAATGATATAAAACCAGAGAAATGGACAAATTTTACTCCTTAGACTTCGTTTTTCCAAGAAACACATATGCTCACTAGGAAACGAAGTTTATTTATCATGTACACAAGTTGTGTCTGACATCTGAGAAAATGTTATTTACATAAAACACCATAGATTAAAACATACAGTATTTGTATTTTAACACGATAGGGTCCCAGGGCTCAAACAAGACGTCTGCATCACAGCTATTTGCTCCGCCACCAAGAACCGTCGTGGCGGTACCTGGGCACGTCTTTTCTGAGTCTCTGCGCAGCTCACGCGCCGGGCCGGGCGTCCGTGGAGGAAGACACGGCTGCCCTGGCCCTCACGCCCGCGCTGGGGCCTCCGCCTCAGGATCCTCGCCCGCCTCCTTCTCAGACTCAGAGTCAGATCCCTCGCTGTCCGGCGATTCGAAGCTCTCCAGAGCGTCTCCTTTCAGCCGCTTTTAAAGAATGAGCCAAGTGTTTATTATAAAAACTTTACAACCCAAGCCCGTGATCTGACTGCGGTACGTGACCCTCGGTGTTGTAACGAGGTGGTTACAGACTGTCTCAGCTGAACCCACTCACCACCCAGGCCTGTCCGTCTCCCCCACGCTGGATCACACCGCAGCCAAGTCACGTGGCTGACGGACCTGCTCCCTTCTAAGGCTCTGGCTCTTCAATGAGCGAGCCCTCCCCTAAGGCAGGGAGGCCGGCCCCGCGCTCCCAGCCCGCTGGGGACCACACTCCGCAGCCAAGGCGGCCATGACAGCATCACCAGGTGAGAACCTCAAATGTTAACGTCTGTCACGGCCCGAACATGCAAGCAATTCAGTACAAAAAGTGTTTCATTTGGAAATCTCCCATCCCATCAGCAAGATGCCTTTTTGTAAACAACATTAAGTGTTAAAACTTAGGTTTTAGGCTAAGCCTGGTAAGGGAACAGTCAGGAGGTCAATCCTTACAAACAGGCTACTTCCCAATTTTAAACAAAGTCAGAGGAGCCCCACCCTTCCCCGTGCTCCAAGGAGCAGCTCTATGAACACAGGAAGGTCACGCTGGCTTCCCAATTTTAAACAAAGTCAGAGGAGCCCCACCCTCCCCGTGCTCCGAGGAGCAGCTCTATGAACACACGAACGTTAAATGTAAACTGTCTAAGACGCGTCGGCTGTGAAAGAGAAGGCTTTTCCCTACTTTCTCAGCGAGACACCTCTCAGCGTCCATCTTCTGTAACTCGTTCTCATAACAACCTAGAGCAGGGCCGGCGACCCCGCTTTACGGCTGAGGACAGCGAAGACCCCACAGCACCAATTCGCTGCTTACTCACCACCTTCACGTCCCGGGTGGGGAGCTAGGACCCCGGAGCCCGAGTCCAGAGCCCACAGGGTCCTCGCGCTCGGCTTGGCGGACACTCACCTCCAGGACCTCCGCCATGTACTGCACGTGCTCCGCCACCGCCGCCAGCTCCCGGTTCTCCCTCTGCAGGCGGGCGATCTCACCTGCCTTCTGCTCGATCTCTCTGTGGAGCTGAGGCGTGGGGCAGCTCAGT